AATCTACAAAGCAAATGGAAAACAGAAAAAAGCAGGGGTTCTTATTCTAATTTCAGACAAAACAGACTTTAAAGCAACAATGATCATAAAAGACAAAGAGGGGCATTACACAATGGTAAAGGGCTCAGCAAGAAGACCTAACTAGTTTAAATATATATGCACCAACATAGGAATATCCAGATTAATAAAGCAAGTTCTTAGAGACCTATGAAGAGATTTAGATAACCACACAATAAAAGTTGGAGACTTTAACATCTCATTGATAGTATTAGACCATTGAGGCAGAAAACTAACAGATATTCAGCACCTGAACTCAACAGCTGACCAGATGGACCTAACAGACATCTACAGAACTCTCCACCCAAAAATAAGAATATACATTCTTCTCATATGCACATGGCATATACTCAAAAATCAACAACATAATCAGCCATAAAAGAATCCTTATCATCTGGGCGTGGTGGCTCATGTCTGTAATCCCAGCACTTTGAGAGGCCAAGGTAGGTGGATTACCTAAGGTCAGGAGTTCAAGACCAGCCTGGCCAACATGGTGAAATCCCCTCTCTACTAAAAATACAAAAAATTAGCTGGGCATGATGGCAGACGCCTGTAATCCCAGCTACTCAGGAGGCTGAGGCAGGAGAATCACTTGAGCCCAGGAGGTGGAGGTTGCAGTGAGCTGAGATTGCACCATTACACTCCAGCCTAGGTGACAGAGTGAGACTCCATCTCAAAAAACAAACAAACAAAAACCTTATCAAACTCAAACCAAAATCATACCAAACACACTCTCAGACCTCTCAGACTATTACAGTAGAATAAAAATAGAAAACAGTATTCAGAAAATTGCTCAAAACTATAAAATTACATGGAAATTATACAAAGTGTTCTTTTTTTTTTTTTTTTTTTTTTTTGAGACAGAGTCTCGCTCTGTCGCCCAGGCTGGAGTACAGTGGTGTGATCTCGGCTCACTGCAACCTCCGCCTCCTGGGTTCAAGTGATTTTTCTGCTGCAGCCTCCTGAGTAGTTGGGACTACAAGTGTGTGCCACCAAGCCCGGCTAATTTTTTTGTATTTTTAGTAGAGACAGGGCTTCACCATATTGGCCAGGCTGTTCTCGAACTCCCGACACAAAGTGTTCTTTAATAACTCTTGGATAAACAATGAAATTAAGGCAGAAATCAAGAAATTATTTGAAACTAATGAGAACAAAGATACAACATATCAGATATCAGAATCTTTGGGACACAGCTAAACCAGTTTTAAGGGTGAAGTGCTAAATGTCCACATCAAAAAGTTAGAATGACTTCAAATTAACAACCAAACATTACACCTAGAGTAACTATAGGAACAAAAGCAAACCAACCCCAGAGCTAGCAAAAGACACAGAATAACCAAATCAGAGCTGAACTGAATAAAATTTATTTGCACAAAAACATACAAAAGGTCAATTAGTCCAGGTTGGCTCTTCAAAACAATAAATAAGATTGATAGACTGCTAGCTACATTAATAAAGAGATAAGATCAAAATAAACACAATCAGAAATGACAAAAGGGACATTACTACTGACTCCACAGGAACACACACACACACACACACAAACCCCTCACAGACTACTTTGAACACCTATATGCATAAAAACTAGAAAACCTCGAATAAATGAATAAATTCCTGGAAACATACAACTTCCCAAGATTGAACCAGGAAGAAATTGAATCCCTGAACAGACAAATAATGAGCTCTGAAATTGAATGAGCAATAAAAACCCTACAAACAAGAAAAAGCCCAAGACCAGATTGATTCACTGTCAAATTCTACCAGATGTATAAAGAAGAACTGAGACCATTCCTACAGAAACTATTCCCCAAAATTGAGGAGGAGATACTTTTCCCTAACTCATTCTATGAGACCAGCATCATCCTGATCAAAAACCTAGCAGAGACAACAACAACAAACACTTCAGGCCAATTTCTTTGATGAACATAGATGCAAAAATCCTCAACAAAATACTAGCAAACTGAATCCAGCAGAACATCAAAAAGCTAATCAATCATGATCAAGTAGGCATTATGTCTAGGATGCAAGGTTGGTTGAACATATGTAAATCAACAAATGTGATCTATCACATAAACAGAACTAAAAACAAGACAAGATCATCTCAATATATGCAGAAAGGCTTTCAATAAAATTCAACATCCCTTCATGACAAAACCCTCAGTGAACTAGTGGTTGAAGGAACATACCTCAAAATAACAGCCATATATGACAACTCCACAAACAATATCATATTGAACAGCCACAAGGTGGAAGCATTACTCTTGAGGACTGGATGCCCACTCTTGCCAGTCCTATTCAACATAATTCTGGAAGTCCTAGCCAGAGCAATCAGGCAAGAGAAAGAAATAAAAGGTATCTAAACAGGAAGAGGGGAAGTCAAACTATCTGTTTGCAGATGATATTACTCTGTACCTAGAAAACCCCATAATCTACCCTAAAGTTCCATGAACTTCAACTTTAGCAAACAAAATCAATATACAAAAGCATTAGCATTTCTATACACCAACAATGTCCAAACTGAGAGCCAAGTCAAGTATGCAATCCCACTTACAAAAACAACAACAAAAACAAAAACCTAGGAATACAGTTAACCAGGGAGGTGAAATATCTCTACAAAGAGAATTACAAAACACTTCTCAAAGAAATCAGAGATGACCCAAACAAATGGAAAAACATTCCATGCTCATGGATAGGAAGAATTGCTATTGTTAAAATGGCCATACTACCCAAAGCAATTTATTCAATACTGTTCCAATCAATCAATGACACTCTTCACAGTTTTAGAAAAAACTATTTTAAAATTCATATGGAACCAAAATAGAGCTCAAATAGCCAAGGCAATCCTGAGGAAAAGTAACAAAGCCAGAGACATGTTACCTGGCTTCAAACTATGCTACATAGCATACCTGACTTTGAGTGGCCACAGTAACCAAAACAGCATCGTACTGGTACAAAATCAGACACAGAGACCAATATAACATAATAAAGAGCCCAGAAATAAAGCCACACACCTACTACCATCTGATCTTTAACAAAGTCATCAGAAATAAGCAATGGGGAAATAATCCCCTATTCAATAAATGGTGCTGGTATAACTGGCTAGCCATATGCAGAAGATTGAAACTGGACCCCTTCCTTACATCATATACTAAACTCAAGATGGATTAAAGACTTAAATGTAAAATCTAAAACTATAAAAAGTTTTGAAAGCCGGGTGCGGTGGCTCACGCCTGTAATCCCAGCACTTTGGGAGGCCGAGGCGGGCGGATCACAAGGTCAGGAGACTGAGGCCATCTTGGCTAACATGGTGAAGCCTCATCTCTACTAAAAACATAAAACATTAGCCAGGCATGGTGGCGGGCACCTTTAGTCCTAGTTACTCGGGAGGCTGAGGCAAGAGAATGGCATGAACCCGGGAGGTGGAGGTTGCAGTGAGCCGAGATCGCGCCACTGCACTCCAGCCTGGGCGACAGAGAGAGCCTCCGTCTCAAAAAAAAAAAAAAAAAAAAAAAAACCCTTGAAAAAAGCCTGGGAAATAGTATGCTAGGCATTGGCCCTGGCAAATATTTTATGATGAAGAAACCAAAAGCAATTGCAACAATACCAAAAAATTAACTAATGGAACCTAATTAAATTAATAACTTCTGCACAGCAAAGGAAACTATCAACAGAGTAAACATACAACCTACAGAATGGGAGAAAATATTTGCAAACTATGCATCCAACAACAAACTAATATCCAGAATCTATAAGAAACTTCAACAAACATATAACAAAAAACAACCCTATTAAAAAGTGGGCAAAGAACATGAACAGATACTTTTCAAAAGAAAACATATGCATGGTCAACAAGCATATGAAACAATGCTCAACATCACTAATCATTAGACAAATGCAAATCAAAACTACAATGAGATACCATCTCACACCACTCAGAAGGGCTAATATTAAGAAGTCAAAAACTACAGATGCTAGCAAGGTTGTGGAGGAAAGGAAATGCTTATACACTTCTGGTGGGAATGTAAATTACTTCAGACATTGTGGAAAGCAGTGTGGTAATTTCTCAAAGGACTTAAAATGGAATTTCCATTCAACCCAGCCATCCCATTATTGGGTATATACTCAAAGGAATATAAATTCTTCTACTATAAAGTGACATGCACACATTCCACAGCACTATTCACAATAGCAAAGTCATGGAATCATCCTAAATGCTCATCAATGGTAGACTGGATAAACAAAACGCAGTACATATACACCACGGAATACTACACAATCATAAAAAGAATGAGAGCATGTTCTTTGCAGCAACATAGATGGAGCTGGATGCCATTATCCTAAGTGAACTAATACAGGAACAGAAAACCAAATACTACATGCTCTCACTTGTAAGTGGGAGCTAAACATTGAGTACACATGGGCACGTGTATTTGAGAGTAGAAGGTGGGAGAGGATTGAAAAACTACCTATCATGTACTATGCTTATTACCTAGATGATGAAATAATCTGTACACCCAACCCCTGTGACATGCAATTTACCTATATAACAAACCAGCAAATATACCCCTGAGCCCCCAGCCTAAAGTAAAAGTTAAAAAAGTATTAAGTGAATAAAGAAATGAATTATACTTGAATATAAAAATAAAAGAAATAACTTTCATACTGGGATATTAGGAGTATATCTGATAAATATTATTCTGATTTCATTATATTAATGTAAAATTTTAGAGTATCTGAGGTTTAAAAGGATGCTTTCAAAAACTTATTAAGAAATTCTTGCCAAGACATTTGTGTATATGAGCAAGTGTTACAAATATCATCTGTTACAGAAACTACGGCAAAGGAGCTTAATTTTTACAACTAGGATACTGGGGAAATAAAGTTTACAGCATCCTACGATGAAACACCAGTTAATATAAAAATATCGAACGTATACTGTAACATAATTTCGAATGTCATAGAAATTTATTTCCACGAAAAGATGGTAATAAAGATTTAAAGAGGGGTACAAAGACTCGAACAAGTAGTCTGGATCCATTTTTCCCTCATACAAGTCTGATTTTCCGGTGGTCAAAGAATAAAAATTAAAATGACCTTTTTATTCTGATATAGAGCTCTTTTCAGCACAGTAAGAGACAACGATTGCTGTCTTGAGCCCATCAATATCCCTGGGACTACTGAGAATGTCCGCTTTGCCACCCAGAGTTCCAGAAAGCTCTGTACGGTGGGCTTGGGCCACAGCCTCTCCCTCCCACCTTCCTGCTCGCGATGTTCTAGCTGTAGTTCCGCCTTCTGTCACGAGAGGGCACCACGGTACCACCATTATCGAACTCCTCGATCAAGGGTCTGCAAGGAGCAAAAAATAACAATACTTCCCTTAAAACTTAGCTTATGAAACTGATTACTGAGTAATTCTAATTCTGTCGGAAAAAAAACCTGATGATAGGTGTAAAATAAGTCAGTATATATGTATGGCATCAACAATGAAACATCAGACAGCTCTGGCGCACGTTGGCAATCATTAGTTAGCATTAATAGGTCAGTGCAAGGCAGGCAGAAGGTGACTGAGAGAGGATGGGGGTGCCTAAGTGGGTCCTGGGCAGCTGCGTCCATAATGTCCTGGAGAGGGGATGAGTAGAGGGAGTGAGAGGTTTGAGAAGCCTGTACAAGGGTAGGGTAATGGAGGGTGAACACCCAGCTCTCTGGAAGGGACCCCTCTGCAGTGTGGACACCTCAATCTACAGAGGAGGGAAGAAGAGATAAATCAATGAATTCGATGTAGATTTGGGGTAAACAGCAAATAGGACTGTTTTTAATATGCACGTGAATTTTCCAAACAGAATTGCTATTATAATAAATATTTTCATAACATTCATTACTCCGTAAAATATACTTCTGTTCATTAAAAAAGAACGACAAAGGTGAATATAGCTGTGATGCCTCCTGGTGGCCAGAGAAATTATTGCACATCTGGGAGAAGAGTTGGGGCAGGAGAGGGGAGGGAGGAAGAAAGGGTGGAATCTAATTAATGGCATCAGGCACAGTATTCTGGAATTTTTCACATACTTGTCATAATTCGTGTGTATCCATTTATCTAGGTTATTTTTTAAAAGTATATTTTCTGGGATATATAAATCTTTTTCTTTCATTTAGAATTTTTCAACATCAATAATATTGTTACTTAAAAACTATATGGGTCATAATTTTAAAAAAAGGTTTAGCGGATCACGAGGTCAGGAGTTTGAGACCAGCCTGGCCAACATGGTGAAACCCCATCTCTACTAAAAATACAAAAATTAGCCAGGCGTGGACGGCACCTGTAATCCCAGCTACTTGGCAGGCTGGGGCAGGAGAATCTCTTGAAACCGGAAGGCAGAGGTTGCAGTGAGCCGAGATGGAACCACTGTACTCCAGCCTGGGCAACAAGAGTGAAACTCCATCTAAAAAAAAAAAAAAGTTTAATACTCTGGGATCATGTAATGGCAGACCCCAAGGAGATAAGATCATTCCCAGCCCCAAAAGCATGAAGACAAAATGAGAAAAACTTCAAAATAATTCAAAATTAACTGTTGATAGGGAGATAACAAGGGTATTTTTCTGGTTTACTTAGTCACTCCTAAAATCAGTAACCTTATATGAATAATGGTGATGATATTGGGTGATTTGAATGATACTTAGGATTATAGAAAACTAAATACATTTGAAAACATCTTGAGGCGTGCGTACTATCCTTTGAGGAAGATTAAAGCATTAACAGGCCTGGAGGCATCAAGTCAAAATAGAAAAATACCTTAAGTATTCCAAAGTTAGCTGCTGATCTGGAGAGAACAAGCTGTCTCTCTTATTTGCATAAACTTTCCTAAAGGCAGCACCCTGATGTGAATAATGGTCATAGTCATGGGTACCTTGGATGGCAGTTAAGATTAAAGGAGATGAGGTGTAAAGTGCATTTGCTTTCGGTGCATGTTACTTTCCCTCTCTCCAGCTCACCTGTCTCAAGGCCAACACCTGAGCTTCCACCTGAGCCCATTCACCACTTCAAGGATCAGCCAACTCGTGTGGCCCTACACCCAGGTCTCTTGGTACAAAGCATGAGATTTCACTTCCTCTGTCTTCCTCATCACCCAGAGGGGTTGTGGAGTGGGGACCTGTGGGGCACAATAGCCGGGGAGTGGAATCTGACCATTTCTCAAGGCCTGGAAGTCCATCTTCTAAAAGGGAGGCTGCCCAGAGCCATCTAGGGAGGGTGAGGGATGGAACCTCATTCCAATCTTGCCACTTTCCTGGGGAGGTGACTTAGGTTCTGTGAGGCTGAGCTTGGTCAACTGTGAAATGGGATTGACCATACCATCTCTACAGAGCTGTCCTGAGGGGTAAATGAGAAAACCTCTTGAGAATATACGGCATGGAGTTGGACTTCAATTATCTTTAAATGTTGGGACACAGCAGTAGGGACTCACTGGGCCTCAGGGTTAAGGCAGGCATTGTGAAAAATCATTTCTCATTACTTCCCTTTATAAGAAAACAGATAGTTGAAGAAAGCAAATATTCCTGTGATATGCGTTGAGTTCAAAGTTTTGTAGACGGTAGTTTCTCTACTTCTTGGGTGTTATCAGAAGCTTATAAGAGCTGTTCAACATCATTCCCCTGGGCTGACCCAAATCCAGTTTCCCTTGCCTGGAATACAGGTATGTCTTTGAACTCACCTGGTGATCTCAGTGATAGATAGCAAAGTAAGCAAAGTGTGATGTCTGCCTAATGGCTCCTCTGGACTACTTAGTATTTTAATGTATGTATAGGAAAATTCTGGTCTCATCCTGCAGTCATCAGTGCAGGAGTCCTCAGGTCATGTATTATCCAGCCACATCACACCAGGATTTCAGCCACCTGCTGCCTTCTGGAGACGCACAAATCCAATAGTTAGCAACATTTTTTGACACATAATTGTCTATTCTTCTGTTAGGTAATAACTAAATGTTTACTGAGCTCAGATTTCATGCTGTCCCAGTGGACGCATCTCATTAGCTCTGAATTGGAAATGAGAGGGTAAGAAAGGATATGAATATATGGGCAACTTTAAATGTTAAATTTGAGATGAGATGGCTCCTTCCCATTATTTTTTCTTTTGAATTTTTCTAGCTGCCCATTAATGTTTAAACTTGATCAAGTTTCAAGTAATTTAAGATTTTTCCAATGTCATTCGTTGGACTTACCAGCATCCATTGCAGCCACATGATGGAGATATCTCTTCTATCTCTCTTTATTGCTTTCTCTCTGTCTCTTTACATTTTTTTTCTTTACATTCAAAGTTCCATAAAGAGTTTTCTACATTCCCTGTTAATATTCTCCACTTTCCACTGACTATCCCACTGCACTATGGCCTCTGTCCACAAGATCAAGTAACACATGTGAATTCAAACACCTCCAAAGTGTGTTTCTTGTGCAATTAAAAAATAATAAATGAAATGGAAAAGTCTACTCATGTCAAACAACCATCACACAAAATGAGATCAGGTTCTAAATGAGATGCATCCCTAAACCAGTCAAGGGATTTGGATAGTAGTTTGGACATACGAAAACTAACTACAGGGAATCACTGTCTTCTTTCATCAGCTTGGCTCAGGTGAGGTTCCAGATGTACAGGGTAACCCCACATGAGTTACAGTTTGAGTTAAATACAAGTAGTCTGGACAAATAGAAGGTGTTTCATTAAAGAATACACTAAGTCATTGTTTTAGGCCAGTTCACTCCAGGGAAACTCTAGGTGCTTGAATACATCAGGTAAAAAAGGGGGCTTGAAAATAGTATCTGCAGATTTTATTAATGCTCCCTACAGCACACAAACCAAGTAAATGGGCCTGTTTTGGCAAGTTGGAAAGAGAGTATACATGACATGTAGGCATATATGGCAAATCCCACTGTTGAAATCTGAACATGTATTTGTTCTCCTTATGTTTCTTCCTTCCTCTTATTCCATGAGGTAGTCATGCATTTAGAGATAAAAATGTAAATTAAAAGTAAAACCTTAAGCCCCTCAACTGACTGAATAAACCTCCTCATGGCCAGGAGGACCCCCCAAAATCCTTAAAACTGAGTTCCTGGGCATGACAGGAAGTGGGGTCAGATACAACTTGTTATGCTCCCTCTCTTTTGTGGTTTAGATACAACAATTGACCAGCATTAATGTTAAATAGAGATCATAAGACTGGCAGAACAGACTCTTTGTGGCAATAAGATATCAAATTATAAATAAGACCTAAGGCCATGCCAGGAAAGGGTTAAGTCACACACTCTACACTTAAAGAATAAACTGCGTTCTAATTGACACAAGCTGTCCTTTTCATTTTTCTCCAGTAGCTAAACAAGTACTGGCCTCAAGATAAGCAACATTAAAACAACTTGCAGCTCATCCACCACTAGATGCTGATCCCCAGCCCCTGTTCCACCAGCAGTGGCTACAGTTTTGATTGGACAAGAGACTGATTTCGGTAACTTTCTTCTGATTAGAAGATCACCAACCATGGACCGGTTCTGGCCAGTTTAAAGAGGGCAGGACTTGAGTGCCTTTGTGTTCTGAAAAGTTCTTTTGACGTATAGGGCCTAATTGTGATACATTTAAATGTGAAGTCTCCACCCCAAGGTGAACCTGGTCCATATGTATAACATACATGTTTGTGCCAGGACCCCCTTCATAAATATTCATAGCTCCTCCTATAACGTGTTGTGTATGTATCTTTGTCCAACCCCTTCAGCTTAAATTCCTGTCTTAACCTCTCACTCCCTCAAAGTGTCTGCTTCTGGGCTTCTTCCAATGGCTACATTCCCAGCCCGTCAGAATGGCCACACTGCAGGCTGTAATCTTTAATAAGAAATAAAGCCATCCTTTTAAAAATTTGTAAATTGGTGATATTTCAGTTCACAAAGCCATACCATTAAAAATACCATATTTCGTGTGTGGATCTATTCAAATGTAATAAAAATATAGAGAAATGTCTTAAAAATGTAAACCCCAAATTTTGCCTAGTGGTTACCTGTGAGGAAGAAGGAAACTAATGTAATCAGAGAACACTTCAAAGTGAATTTTAATTGCATATGATGTTTTATGTTAACATAGAAGGTTCTATTCTATAATTTTGTGTATTTCTGAAATATTTAATAAAAACTACTGTTTCCATATTTGATTCTGAATTCAAAGGAGATTCCTACTAATTTAAAATTTTAGGAAACATAATGAGCTCCAGAGATAATCAATAACCCCATGGCTGATTTTTAAAAATGTATCATTTTTGTGAATTACTTCCCACTTGATTATCTATGCAGACATATTTAATGTATATGCATTACACATGGATTTCATTTATCTGCAGACCTAACATTTGCTAAAGATCACTAAATTAATTATTAATTGTGCCCAAATATCCTACCCACTCTATCTGACTCCAAAACCACACCTCCCCTCTATTGGGAAATAAAATCTTTTCCTGTGAAAGGGTTGAGGCTAGGACAGAAGTGACTCCCCATAGTCCTGTACATAAGAACAGATCTGGTATTTGGGACCCAGGTCTCCTGATATCATCTGTTTCCCAGAAGACCCATCTTCATGGTCTGTCATTCTGTGCTGTCTCCTTTCTGAGGCTCAGTGAGAGGCTGCTATTAACATGTCCAAATGGAAGGTAAATGAAGATGTAAGGACATCAAATAAAAAATAATGAAATTATTTTCTTTCTCCTCCGCTCCACGCATCAGGTAACTTCTACAAAGAAAAGACAGAAAAGCTTTTCTCTCATAGAAATATGTAAACATTTTATTTCCTGCTGCTTCAACTCTAATTGACCTCTAGGAGATGTTCATGTAAACTACGTCTTTTGTAGAAGAGAAAACACAGGGAAAGCCAATACATATATTTGTTGTAGCATTACATGTTAGACACTTCACATAGGTTTAAGCATTGTACATTTTCTTCCCACAACAGTTCAGCGAGGTATGTATCAATATGCCCATGTTACAGATGCCCCAGTTCAGGTTCACAAGGGGTAACTCACTATTATTGGGTCACATATCTAAGTAGAAGCAGGAATAAGATCTACCAAATATATATATATATATATGAGATAAATACACTCATTTATATATAATATATATAATACACAAACAGGCCCACTTATATGTATTATTTAGCAAATTGAGATGAATATTTTTAAAGTTCTTTCTGTTTTCATCCAGTACAATAGGCTAGGACATAAATCTGCATTACTTTAGTTCTTTAGTTACTGTAATTTCACTTTTTTTTTTTTTTTTTTTAAGGCAGAGTCTTACTCTGTCGCCCAGGCTAGAGTGCAGTGGCATGATCTCAGCTCACTGCAACCTCTGCCTCCCAGGCTCAAGCAATTCTCCTGCCTCAGCCTCCCGAGTAGCTGGGATTACAGGCACATGCCACCATGCCCGGCTAATTTTTGTATTTTTAGTAGAGATGGGGTTTCACCATCTTGGCCAGGCTGGTTTCAAACTCCTGACCTCGTAATCCACCCACCTTGGCCTCCCAAAGTGCTGGGATTACAGGTGTGAGCCACCTCGCCCAGCCAACTTCCAATGTGTTTAAAAGTTTAAAATCCCTTTTATCAAAATAATAATTGAAAGAGTCCAGAAACATCTATAAGGAATAAACAACAGAAAAAACACTATTACAGTTCAATAGAATAGATTTCCATATTCCTCTTGAGATAGCCAAATTCTGTTTGATGGTTGAAGCAGGAAGTACAAGATCTGATTCGTCCTCAATATATGTAGAGTAAATATTGAAGACTATACTGTAAGTGGCAGATATTAACAGGACTTTATTGACCATGCCATTGAAAGAGCTGGGCACTCAGGCACTTACCACTGTTCAGGGCACATTGTCACCCATGAATGTATTAATTAATAAATTTGTGAGATATATCCTCGGATGGGGTACATATTTTCCTTATATTCTAAATAGACAGGATCTGAATATCACCACATTGGGCAGTAGGTTACTTTGGCCTCAAATAACATTTTCTCTTCTCTTAAAAAATATCTCCCCTTGAATGCAGTGTTTTCCAGATGTTATAAACCACCAATCGAATTTTGTCAGATCCACTTCCTGGGTATTAAATGCATCTTCCCCCAGGTCAAAGGACTCAGGGCAGCCCAGGAATCATCTCCTGCATCTTCTTTACTCCCTACCTTGAGTAAGTTGGCAGAGAGATGAATTTAGAGAGAAATGAAAGGGGCTTTGTGGGCCCACCTAGTAAATCACTGAAGGCATCCAACAAGGATGCAGAGTGATAGGGTCAATTTTGCATGTGGGAACATGTGAAGATACCATGACTAAAATCCAGAAATAAACCATCGCATCCCAGGAGGAAATCCTGCACAGAGATTCTACAGAAAACAGTTGAAAGGGTCATGTAATATGGACAACAGGAAAGCTGCCCATTTGAGTAAATTATGGTAAGCCATGAGTCTACAACAGCACAGAGCTGCCTAAGCAGAAGGGGGTATTTGGTCAACACATGCAGCTCTGTTGGGGAGGATCATAAATTTAACTCTACAAAAATAACTGCAAAGATGCAACATGTAAATGATAGTATAGGTGAGTGTTAAATTGTGCCTAAACTTGTCAGAGCAGTGTCGAGTTGTGACACAACTCACTGAGTTGATGAAAGGAGCTGAGGCAACAGAGAAAAGCCTCATGAAAAATCTCAGGGAGGATACAAGGAGAAAACAAATGAAAGCATGGAAAGTGTGACCTCCTGGAGAGAGTGTTCTGGCTAAGAATGTGCCTCCAGGAGGAAGGCATAAACATGCTGGCAGATGGGAGACCATTGGACCTGGGGTCAGAGAGAAACTATAGTGGGTGTATGATTTCCAGACAGCCTGAGGACCCAATTAGTGGTAAATCCTTCCTCTTGACATTTGCTTCTCACTTTAATGAAGGCTTAGGGCACTGACATCAACCACTTCACTATTTTCAGTGTTCCTGTCTCCTTCCTGCGCCCATGGACCTGTGAGAGGTCTTCAGGACACTTCTGTTCTCACCAAATTTGTGTAATTTCAGGGTGTAAAGGTGACATGCAGCATCTCACCGAAGCAAATGTGTTTTTCCACAATCAGTCCTAAATCTGGATGGCCTCAGACCTGGAGTGCCCAGTCAGTTATCTCAGAGCCCTGTCCGCTCCCCTGGGAGGCCCCCACTCTTCACTCCAGTCAGGCTGGACTCCCTGTTCCCTTTCTATTTTATGAGGTACAGGTGTTTTCTCCAGGAACCAGCAATCTCTATTCTAAGAATCTATCCCAAACATACATTTCAAAAAGACAAAAAGGCAGAAGAACAAGGTCATTCCTAGAAGAACAATTTGTAATAGGACAAGACTATAAATAAGACAAATGTCCACCAATAGGGGATTGACTGAATAAGGTGCATCTACATGTTAGAGTACAATGCACGTATACCAAGCAAGGAGGACTCTCTTTCTCTACTGCCATGTAATGATTTTCAAGATATACTATTAAGTGAAAGAAGCAAGGCACAGAAAAATGTGAGGAGCTGTTGCTGTTCAATATGGTAGGCACTGACCACATGTGGTTATTTAAACAAGGTATTTTAGATATATTTTATTTTAGATAAAACTAAAAATTTAGTTCCTCAGTTGCATTCACCGCATTTCATATATTCAATGCCACAGGTAGCTAGTGGCTACTGTATTTGACAGTGTAGACACAGAATATGTTCACCTCTACAGAAATTCTCCTGGACTCCACTAATGTAGAATATGCCACCTATGAAATAGGAGAAGTCTAATATAAATATTACATTTGGTTATAATATTATAAATTTGAATGTTAAAACAAAAATTGATCAATAGCCTGGGCAACATAGCAAGACCGCCTCTCTACTAAAAATTGAAAAGAAAAACATAGCTGGGTGTCGTGATGCATGCCTATGATCCCAGCTACTGCAGAGGCTGAAATGGAAGAATTTCTTGAGCCTGGGGAGTGGAGAGGCTGCAGTGAGCTGTGATTGTGCCACTGCATTCTGGCCTGGGTGACAGAATGAGACCCTGTCTCAAAAAAAATTGATCAAAATGACTGCATGTAAGGGATGGAGGAACAGCCCAGGATGGAAGACAATCATGTGTATTCCCTGAAAAACATAATACATATTTGCTGGATCCATGCACAGAAAAGGACAAGAAACAATGACCAATCTAATAGCAATGAGCAACCCTAGTCTCCAGATTGAATTTACTAAAAACATTTCCCATTAAAAGGAATCAGGTTATTTGGAGAAATGATTTATTCCAGGTCTGAGTAGGAACTGTAGCTGATGACTCTGGACCCAACTAACATACCAGAAGACATGTCAAAAAGACCAGAAGCCAAACTAGAGGGGCTCCCACTTCACGAAGATAAAACTATTTGAAGGTCAAATAAAATAATGTAATAGAGTCAATCAAGACAAACATAGAAGTATCTAGATCTAATGAAAATACTCCAAAAGAAAAACAAACAAATTATATTTATTGCTCACATTTGTAGGACCCCAGGGAAACATCTAATTATTTCTTCTCATGGGAACACAAACATCTAGTTGAAGGAAGCAAATATCTCTGTAATATGCATTAAGTTCAAAGTTTTAGAGAAAGAAAGGATTCTGCATTTTGAAGTATTTCATTGTCTTATAGAAGCTACTCAACATCATGCTTCTAAGCACACCCAAATCCAGCTTCCCAGGTTGTAGGTGGGGGCAGTGTGCAAGATAGGCATGACTGGGAACTCACCTGGCAAGCTCAGAGATAGATAGCACCAGGGACGCAAGGTTTGGTGTTTGCCCAGAGGCTGCTACTGGGCTACTTGCTATGTTGATATATTTATAGAAAAATTCTGGACCTGTCCTGTAGCCACTTGTGCACAGGTCCTCAGGTCATGCATTAGCCGGCCACAGCAACCAGCATTTCAGCCACCTGCTGCCTCCTTGAGGGACAAAAATCTTAGCACTACTGGCATACCTTTGACACACAATTATCCATTCTTTCATTTGCCAGATACTAAATGTTTATATGATATGTGTGTGTATATATATATATACACACACACACACGCACGTATAACCTTTAAATTCAAATTTTGGAAAAGGGTTTTCTACATTCCTCATTTCCCTTTGATTGCTTATCCCACTGTACTATATCTTCTGTCTATATGATTGCAATGAATGTCCTCTCACCAAGGTCATAATCATCCACCTTTTCTCATTTTTCTCATCTAGTTTTTCATATAAATATATTAATATACAAAGTATTCATTTTAGTAACCTCCCAAAGTATGCATGCTTGCGCAGACTGCTTCTTTCACCTAGCAACGGAGCTTTGACAGTCTCCCAGGCTTTGGAGCATGATGTACTCGACACAAATCTAAGCTGTCCCTCTCCCTAACTGTGTGGTCTCAGGCAGTCTTTACTCACTCTGTACTTCAGATTTTCATCTACGAAATGGGAATTAGTAACAGTTTCTACCTTGGAAGGGTGCTCTGAAAATTGACTCAATGCCTAAAAAGGACTTGGCAAAGAATATGTTTTAGCCATTTTAACTTCTTTTCTTCTGTCTTTACTGGCCATTAGTATCTCTACTATCGCTATGGGATAGACTCATGTTTATTCATAATCAATAAACTTTGAGGTATGTTCTCAGTGAAACAAGCAAGTTATATTAAATGTAGGATGAACCTTATCTTTTGAAGATAAGTATATAAATACATACATTTCTGAATAAATTTATAAGTACCTGCATAAGAAAACTTCTGAAATAATATTATACAGATGAAAACATTAGGATGTTTATTTCAACATTCTTGATCTATAAATGTGAAAAAAGAAGTGGCTATAGACCTTGGCGGGTTGCATTTCAGTGGCGGGGTGGGGGAACAAAGCACCATTAGATGAGCAATGAGGACTGAGGTGGAGGAATGTGAGTTGAGTATTGAGAATTCTTCATAGAACTTTGGTTGCAATGGAGAGAATATATGTAAAGAGAACTGTAACTGTGGATGTAAAGAGGGGTCCAGGGTATTAAATTATGTTTTAAAATTATCAATGATAAGAGACTCTGTCACATTGAATATTAAGAGGAAGGGGCCATCTCTTTTTAGATCTACAAACTGAATTCATCACGCCCCTATTTCCACACTTCACTTTCTTCTTTCTATTCTGGGGAAGCTAAAACTTCACAAAAGGGATTGTGTAGAGTTTGGCCTTAATGTCTATTAACTGTAGGGAGGGAGGGAGGGAGGGATGGATGGATGGATGGATGGATGGATGGAAGGATGGATGGATGGATGGAAGGAAGATATGTCAAACAGCTGCTGGTAATTTATGGTATTTTCTCTCTCAGGACAGAGTTCTCACACAGGTGACTGAATCTGTGGCATTGGTGGCTGAGAGCAGGCAGTTTTGCAGGTCTCTGCAACTGATGGCAGCAAGATGGGAGCACCCAGCTTCAGTGTTCAGAAGCAGATTTAGGCCGACTTCCACACCTTACATCCTGGAGTGATCCACCCTGACTTGAACAGGTGAGGTCTCAGACAGGCTTGCTTTCCACAATGGGGAAAAGATTACAGCCTGCTCAGAGGCGTGTTGTGGTCCAGCTCTTGTGTCATTCAAAAAGAATCCACAAAGTGCAGATCCAGATCCTCTCCGAACTTGAACTCAACCAATGTCATGGAGAGACATTCTTAATCCCCTTCTATGAAAACAGTGTCATTAGAAGCACCCAGAGGCCACACACACACCCTGGAAATGTAATGCCAGCAGTAGCTCTAGAACGTGCAGGCTCATGTGCCTGTTGCTCATTGTTTTTAGGCTACATATGAAAATGGACCATTTTGCAATAAAAATATAATGCAATGATTATTATCAGATCATTTTGTATACTAGGGAATTTTTAAAGTTATCTGAACATCAAATTAAATATAATGACAATGAAAGAATTTCCACCTGTCATGTCATCCAAATATAAAAAGAAACCATTCAGGATTCCAGTAAGGTGGGCATGCGGGGAAGTCTACCCTGTTTCATATTGGTGGTGGGGATGTCACTTAGTACAACCTCTTTCCAGGTTGATTTGGTAATTTCTATTAAAGACTCTATGTATCCCCCATCTGCATGTGTTTGGGGACTGCTCCTTCAAGTATTCACCCTCAGCATGACCCCTGCCCCTCTGAGAGTGCATATTCTTCCTGACACAGGAACTGTCTGCAGACTCCAGTTTCTAAAGTACTGGCCCAGACACACTCCCTTGACTACAGAGTAGGAAACTTAGGTCTGACAAGGCTCTCTGTCTTTCAGAAGAGAGACAGAACTGGGAGCTTGGCTTCAGAGCTGAAGATACAGATTTCAGTAGTGACCTGGGTCAGCAGGAAAGCAAGATTTACTTGGTTATGGTGTGATGTGCAGCTCAGCATCAGTCTGCCTGGGGGCATATAGGGTGCAGGTCTCTGCTTTTCCACTTAGTGGCAGGATGCTCCCCAGCCAGATTGCTTAACCTGCAAACATCACTGTTTCTTCAGCTACAGGATGGTGTAGAGATTATATCCTCTACCTCCCAGGAATGTTGTGAGAAATTCATGAGATAGAAAAGTACCAGCGTTCAGGAAGGGTGAGTCCCCATGGCTCCCTGAGGCCAGAGATACTGCCCTTCTGTGGGACTTTATGTTACAACCACCCTATGACAATGCACAAATAAATGGTCATTCAATTACAAAAGAGTACAAGGACTTACATTTAATCAGTTTATCCAATATTGATTACTATAATAATCCACAGTGTGAATCGGAAAGTAATTACATGGAAATCACTTCTCCTTCCTTCCCATCTAAGGTCTCAGAAGTGCTTTCTCAGATGTGATCTCATTAACCTCTATATAGATCTGAGAGGTGTTAACCAAAACTGGCCAGCACAGGGGAAATGACTCACCTAAGGCCTTATAATGGGCCTGGCCCCCCATGTTCTATTGCATTGTTTTTCTGCAAAGCCTCATCTTGCAGGGTTACATTATACATATTTTTCTTTTTCTTTTCATTTTAGCAAAAGATAAAAATATATACTTTTTATTGTTAAGAAACATTTTCTTAAATAAGTACTTATTTCATTCCTTACTGAAATGGCTTTTTTCTTACTGACCCATTGAAACCATGTTGGCTATGTTCAACATAACTAGAGATATCTTTGGCATTTTCTTCCCTTAGCTTCATATCTTGTAAAACATCTTGTACAAAAAAGTAAATTTACAGAAAAACACACATATAAATCACTTATTAATCCCCAAATGTAGTAAAATAACATAGCAAAAACTTTATCAAATCCATTTCGTGCACAAACTGGACAGATCTGTTACATATAATCTCTATATGCATCTGCAGTGTTTTATAAATTGGTGCTTTGACATCAAAAAGGAAGTATACAAAAAGGCCCCTCTTGTAATATCAATGACTCAGAATGATCTCACTATCATTGCATCTCAAATTTCCTTGAATTTATACTCATCACTGCCATATCACCATTCTTACAAAAGCAGTTAAGGAAAAAGATGCAGTGTGATTATAAGTAACATTCAAAATTTCATGTTATCAAGAGTTGAGCAGAGTACTAATTTTCCCTTTATAAACACATGCACATCCATGTAGAAATTCAAAGTCAAACTGCATAAAGTGCTTTTATCGACAGAAGGCATCACACACATTCCCAAGCAGCACTGTTCCCATGAGAAACTGAAAACGTTATTTCTTTGAATCTGGAATGCATCTTCCCTCTTCCAGGTGTAACCAGAGTTCTTCCTGGAGCGATTCCAGCTTGTTTCCTTTTGGTGCCTTCCTTAAGAAATTTTGCAGTTGTTTCTGGTGCAGTTTTTGGGTGGGCTCTGGGGTGGGCAGACGATCTTCACTTTGCAGAGGCTGCTCCTTTTGTGGGTGGAGCTGGTGGTGAGGGAGTAGGAGAGGCCTCGCATCATCCTGGCATTCAGGCCCTTAGCCATGGAGAAGGACTTGAGGTGGCTTCTTAAGGCAATGGGGAGCGGGAGCTTGTCTACCAGATGCACAGGCGTGCAAGACACGATGGTGCGGCAGCAGAGGTCTTGCAAGCTCAGTACCTTGCTCGGCCTCCCGAGCCAGTTCAACCTGTGCCGCAGCAGCACGATCCTGGCCAGCTCCGTGAAAGACTCTATGATGTTGAAATTACATAGAGGGCTGACCTCAAAGAAGGTCACGCCCAGGCGCTCAGCATAGGCCTGGGCCTGCTCCCTGGGCACCTGCCTCTTGAATGCCAGATGTAGGCGATTCCCCACCAGGATTTTAGGGACACCAGGGGCATGCTCATCGATCTTCTTAATCCATCGATCCATACCCTCGAAAGACCAGCGGTTTGCAATGTCGTAGACCAGGATCACTCCTTGTGCACCACGAGAGTAGGAGCGGAATATGGTACAAAATCTTCCCTGCCCCGACGTATCCCAGAGCTTCAGCTTCACCCGCTGGCCGTCCAGCAGGATGGTGGTCGTCTTGTAGTCGATTCCCCCCAGGTGGCTGTATGGGGACTCGGCCGTGCCGTCCTGCAGGCTCTCCAGGATCTCACCCTTGCCCACGTCGCTGTCGCCCACCAGCAGGAACTTGAGCAGGAAGTCGTAGGCCTGGTCGGGGCTGCCTGGGGCGCTCATCATGCTGGCCCCGCCCCGCGCCTGGGCCAGACCAGCAGGGTTGCACGCAGAGGCGGTGCCGGGCCTATTTTTCTTGAGAAATTAACATAGAACATAAAAAATGGGATGGCGAAGTTTATGAAATAAAGCGAAATGAGGTGGTGGCTTTGATGGTTTTCTTTTACAAACCCTGGGAAACTGCTTCAGCGATTGTTTTACTTTTTCTTATCCAAAACAGAGTAGAGACACAGCAGTTAATTCATCATTGAAACCTTACATTTCTCTTAACATTGCCATGTGATCGTTATGTAACGATGCCGTTTGGATTACGTCAAAGGACTCTCCTTTAAAGTAAGGACAGGTATGAAATAGGAAGGGGACTAAGATGTGTTGAGTACCGTATGAACCCTACGCTGTGTATGACGCTTAAAATAATTTGTTCTTTTACTTGTCAGAACAATTGTCTTTGGTAGCTATGATTGTTTCCATTTTACAAATGAGAAAAGGCAAACTCAGAAATGTTATGTAATTTTTAAAAATCTTGCTGTTAGTGTAGAGATCACAGAAATCACAATCCTGAGCCAGGGCTCTCCTCATATAATGCACCACACATCCTTTTTACTCTGTGGCCATGCAGGGTTTAGGAGTAAGTGTGAACTGTCTGTGTATGTGATCCTTGACAAGCCACGCATGTTTGCATGGGCACTAATACTTTTCTTGCTGCAGGTGGACATCTCCCATAAATATAAGAGTCAAGATCTCAGAGACATCTAGGATATGGATTTTGCTAGAGTGTCTCATAAATAATATTCACCCAAGAAAGATGTGTTGAAATAACACATGCATCCATCAGTGAAGGGTTTTAGATTTAACACATGTACAGCTCCTATAACAAAACAGCAAAACTGACAAAATATGTAAATGGTTCATGGATGACAAAACGCAAATGGCCAATAATCATAAGAAAATGCATTCTAGCTCACTAATACATTAAGGAATGCAAATGAAACCATCTAAATACACTTTTATCATCTATCGTTTGACAAAATTTAAATGTAGAAAAAGCTGAATAAGAATTTTTTTTTTAATTTGCAAAAGAAAAAGGTAAAAAGTGGTTCTGTGTGTGTCTGGGTATGGGGGCGGGATGAGGGACCAAATACATCAAGGAAATGGAAACACACTTATCAGTTATAAATACATTTAAATATTGTAACAACGGGTACAAAGATGGTTAAAGAAATGAGAATGCTCAGACACATATAAGGGAGTTTAAATTACCGAAATCAAGCCCCAAAGGATAGATGTTTAAGCATGTAATGGATGAAACATTTTTCACATGTACAAAATATCCAGGTAAGAGGTTATTTGCTACAGCATTGCTGAAATCTTTTTAAAAAGGAAAAAATGAGAAGCATTCTAAGTATGCATCAATACAAAACAAACAATAACAAAGTTATCTCCCTAATTTACACAAACTCCCCTAAAAACATTGCCATGATCTGAATGGTGGAATCTGACCATTTCTCGAGCCCTGGAAGCCCATCTTCTTCTTTTTTTTTTTTTTTTTTTGAGACAGAGTCTCACTCTGTCACCCGGGCTGGAGTGCAGTGGCCGGATCTCAGCTCACTGCAAGCTCCGCCTCCTGGGTTTACGCCATTCTCCTGCCTCAGCCTCCCGAGTAGCTGGGACTACAGATGCCCACCACCTCGCCCGGCTAGTTTTTTGTATTTTTTAGTAGAGACGGGGTTTCACTGTGTTAGCCAGGATGGTCTCGATCTCTTGACCTCGTGATCCGCCCGTCTCGGCCTCCCAAAGTGCTGGGATTACAGGCTTGAGCCACCGCGCCCGGCCATGGAAGCCCATCTTCTAAAAGGGAGGTGCTCAGGGTCCTCTAGGGAGGATGAGGGATACAATCTCTTTCTAATCCTGCCACTTACCTGAAGAGGCGACTTAGGTTCTGTGAGCCTGAGCTTGGTCATCTGTGAAATGGGACTGACCATACCATCCTGACGGAGTTGTTCCCAGGCATAAATGGGAAAACCTGTCCAGAGTATATGGCATGCAGTGGGAGACTTCAATGGCCCTTTAAATGTTGAGACATAGCAGTAGGGGTTGGCTGAGCCTCAAGGCCAAGGCAGGCATCGTGAAAAATCATTACTCATTGTTTCTCCTAATGAAAACACAGATATCCATATAAAGAAGGCAAATCTCCCTGATACACCTTGATTTCAGAGTTTTAGAGATGGAGTTCTCTACATTCTTGTGTGTTTCATAATCTCACAAAAACTGTTCAACATCATGCCTCCAAGAAGACACAAATCCAGTTCCCCATGCTGGTAAGAAAAAAACTGATCGGTGTAAATGTAAAAACATATGTTCCAGGGCATCCATACAATGAAACACCAGGTAGCAGTGACAAGGCTGTAGAAAGGTGACCAAGAGAGGTGGAGGCAGTAGAGCAGCATCTGGGGAACTGTGTCTATAGTGTCCTGGAGAGAGGAAGACTGAGAGAGAGTGTGAGAAGGTCTGAGAAGCCTGTACAGGGATAGAGTTATGGAGAGTGAATGCCTTGCTCTCTGGGAGGGACACCCCGCCCCCCCGTCTCCACCCCCTCCCCCTCTGACAGTATGGACAATTCAACCTACCCTGAGAAGGGAAGAGATGATAAATCAGTGAATGCGATGTAGACTTGGGGGTCAACAGCAAATGCACCTGCTTTAATATACATGTGAATTTTCCAAACAGAACTAGAACCAAAGTAAACAAGTTATTTTGAAACATGTTACTCTGCAAAATGTACAAAAACAGAGATAGCTGTGATGCCTTCTAGTGGCCAGAGACAGAAACGCAGCTCTGATAATCTCAAACCGGGGACTCAGGAAGAGGGAGGGATGGAGGTTGGAGGTTAGCTCCAAGGTACCAGCCACAGTTTTCCGGAATTATTCACCTAATAGTAGCGATTTCCATGTATCCATCATGTTCCAGAATATATGAAACTGATATTGGTTCCAATTCCCTCTGCAACTAAAGTTGCATCCATGATTGTGTATTTGGGGTGGTAGAGCTAGAGGACACACACACACACTCACACACACACAAAACCTCTGTCAATTAGACTTGTTATTTACTTCTTTCACAATAAAATAGAATATAATGAATGCTTTTTCAAATTAATGAAAATTATGTACACCTTAACTTTGACAATTTGTTCCAAAGTATTTTGTGTGTTCAAATTTTCATCAAAATACTTTTATTCCCAAATCCAATTTTCAAACAGTATACAAGAGCATACTGATAAATCAAAATTAACCTGAGCTCTCACTGGTCAACTCCCACTCCTTAACCCCAAGGGGTCTGCTGTTCCTAGGATGGTGCATACTCTCCTGACATGTCCCTGTAGGTGAGGTGCACATCAACACGTTTACCTACACACACATGTTGTCTTCTCCAAAAGTGCAATCACGGTACTTATTTGTATCTTGTCATTATAAATTCTCAAGATTTTAAAATGCATTTTATTAGTTCTTGAGGGGTTGGCATATTTTAGTATGTTTATTGTTCATGTACATTTCATTTAAATTCTCTGTTGAAATAGTTGCCATTTTGTTACTATGTTTCACAAATCATGGATACTAACCCAATTAAACTTCAAAATTTGACTTTAAAATTATACAGATCTTAAATTTCAAAAGAAAAAACATTGAAAAACACCTGGGGAGCAGGTACTGTCAGCCTGGAGGGAGATTAGAGCATTCAGGGCCCTGGAATAATGAAGAGAAAATGATAAAAGTTTAGAGTATTACGGAGTTTGTGCTGATCAGGAAACAACAAAGTTGTCTCCCTGATTTACATAAACTCCTCCAAAGGCAGCAGCCTAATTTGAATAATGGTCATAATGACCTTGGATAGCAGTTAAGATTAAAGGAGATGAGGTGTAAAGTGCATTTGCTTACGGTAATTTAGTGCATGTTTCTTTCCTTCTCTCTAGCTCACCTGTCCCAAGGCCAACACCTAAGCTTCTGCCTAAGCCCACTTGCCACTTTAGGCATCAGCCCTCTTATGTAGCCCTACACCCAGATCTCATGGCACAAAGCACAGGATTTTGCTTCCCTTGTCATCTTCAGAGGAGTTGTTGAGTGGGAACCCATGGGACCACAATAACAGGGGAGTGGAATCTGACCATTTATCAAGCCCTGGAAACCCATCTTCTAAAAGGGGGTGATCAGGGTCCTCTAGGGAAGGTGAGGGATGGAACCTCATTCCAATCCTGCCACCTACTTGGAAAAGTGATTCAGGCTCTGTGAGCCTGAGCTTGGTTAGCTGTGAAATGGGATTGACCATATCAACCTTACAGAGCAGTCCTGAGGGGTAAATGAGAAAATCTGTTGAGAATATACAGCAGGGAGTGGCCTTTAAGTATTGGTACACAGCATGAGGGACTGGCTGAGCCTCAAGGCTAAGGTAGTCATCATGAAAAATCACTCCTCATTGTTTCTCCTAATGACAACACAAACATTGTGAAGAACAAGCAAATCTCTCTCTCAAATGCCTTAATTTCAAAGTTTTAGAGACCAAAGGTCTCTGCATTCTTAGGTGCTTGGAAAGTTCACAAGAGCTATTCAACATCATGCCTCTGAGCAGACCCAAATCCACTTCCCCATGGTGGAAAGGCAGGCGTGTTTGTGAACTCACCTGGTGAGTTCCATGACAGATCACATCACGGACACAAGGAGTGGCGATTGTCTAATGAGTGCTCCAGCACTGCTCAGTATTTTAATATGTTTATAGGAATATTGTAGACCCATTTTGCAGTAAACAGTGCAAGGTTCTCAGATCACACAGTATCTAGTTACATCACAGAAATCTAGGAATTACAAGAATTTCTATAACACAATTTTCTATTCTTTCATTAGGTAATAACTAAATGTGTATTGAGCTTTAAAAGCATACTAGTCTACTGGAGGTGTCTAACTAAAGTGGAAAGAGGGTAAGAATTCAAATGAATATATGGGTAACTTCGTGGCTCACATTTGAGAGGAGATGGTTTCTTCAAATTAACTTTAAACTTTCTCAAATTCCAAAGAATTGTTTTA